GAGAGAGAGAGAGAGAGAGAGAGAGAGAGAGAGAGAGAGAGAGAGAGAGAGAGAGAGAGAGAGAGAGAGAGAGAGAGAGAGAGAGAACTCTCTGCGCATACTGCCTGGTGTGCAGAGGATGACATCGGTTGCGCAATCAATGGAAAGGGTCGCGCAGAGGGTTAATTCTTGGGATATCCTTGGTAGTTCAGCCCGGATATCTGCCGAGCGTGACAAGCTGGTTTCTTCTGCCAGCGACTTCGTGTCAGAACAAGCTGGTCACTGCGACCCACAAGCCGCAACATTTGTTCCCTCCGTCTTCACGGCTATCTATGAGCTGCTGGTCTCTGTAACCTTCTTCCTGCGGACCCTTGTAATGTCAGCTTCTCTGCTGATACTGAAACACGTCGTTGGTGTGTCTTCTCCATGGGAAGCTGGGAAGGAGGTTGGGATCGAAAGGCACGATGAAAGATCTTTGTCCATGGGTGCTCAGACAAGTCAGAGAACGGAGGCCAGGGCCGGGATTGATCAGGAGGACAGGTGGGGGTTGAATGTGTTTGATGAGATGAAATCTTCCTCTGGTTCACATCCCAGGTCGTGGGGGACCAGGAACCCAAAGATGTTTGCGAGTTCCAGACTGCAGGGTTCTGACTCCACTCACATGCCAAGAGGGTCCATAGCCAGACGACCTGGTCCAAGCTTTGGTCCAGCAGGTCTGCGCTCTGCTGCCTCCGCAATGGATGCTGCAAAAGGGGAAATGGGAAGATTGAAGAGAGGATGGGGTACACTAGGGACAACTTCAAATGAGCATGTACACACACCTCAGCCCAGACAGAGTAGGGGATGCCTGGTTTACAAGAGACGGGGAGCTACAGCTTCCCAAGTGGTTCCTCCAGGGTCTGTTGTCACGGCTATTCCTGGACCCGATTGTGTTCCACGAACGTCATCAGGCGTTGATGGTGAGCCTGATGGAATAGCTTCTGATTCTATAAACGAGGATAAACCTACTGATCAGGCTATGGACGGACAATTTGATGGAGATGTAGAGAGTGATGCAACAGCAAATGAAGGGGAGGAGGGGCGAAGAAGGCGAGGAAAAGAAGAGGAGGAAGACAAAGAGTTGGATTTTGTGCCTGAGGCACTCGAAGAAGATGACACAGAATCTGAAAGTGTACCTGGACGGATGGAGGATCTCGCTACTGGTTCTGGTGGTGTCCCATTCAAGGGTCAGAACGTTGAAGGAGGGGCCGAATGGGACCTCCTAGCAGACGACGATCTGTTTGTCGCAAAAGATGGAGAAGATTTTGACTACTTCATGCCGATTTCTGCTGTTCCCCCTCGTCCTTCTCGTACTCTTGCTAATGGCACATCTATATTTTCATGCCCTCATGATTGCGGGGCAACGCCCCTGATTGGGAAGCCTCCCTTGAAAGAGATGGAAAAGCAGAAGCAGCAGCAGCAGCAGCAGGTTTCGGAGGAAGGCATGGGTCCTCTTGCCACCGTTATGCCAGGAGAGGGAACGGGTGTTCGCGAGCTATTACCTAAGAACAAGATAATGTCGATGAAAAACTCAGGAAAGCCGCACACACTGTCATCGTTAGATATTGGAGGAGCAAAGGGCGATGGAGATAACAACTTGGTGCCTGCATCCGGGCAGCTGCAGCGGTTGGAGGAAGCAATTGATTACGGTGCAGATGATAGTGGCAGCTTGGAACTACGCCTGGCATCTAGCAGGGTGATAAAAGAAGAAGATGACTGGAAAGCAGCAGGCTCAAGAGAGGTGCGTTTCGGCTCGTTGGTCGTCAGCCCAGGAATGGAAGTGGTGGTTGATGAAGGGGCAGAGATTGCTGCTCCCTTTGTGGAAGAAGAAGAAGAAGATCCTTGTTATGGGGCCATCATGGCATCTGCTGTCGATGTCGGAGAACAGGGTGATGCCGTCGTCCCCAAGGGTTCTTCACCGTCAGAAAAGAGTGTGCAGGTACAGCTTAATGTAAATGGATCAGTTTCTGCCATGTCTGATGTGGGGAAAGGAAACGCCAATATCGACATGACTGTTGTATTGGGTCTGCGGAAAGAGCTAGAGATCGAACGAATGGCAGCTGCCAGAGCTGCTGAGCAGGCGATGATGATGATCATGAAATTGCAGACAGAGAAAGCTGCCCTTCTGACAGAAATGGAACGACTCGCTCGAGATGCTGAGGCAAGACAAGAATACGATGAAAGCAGTCTGGCTCAGCTGAAGACAGTTCCTAATCCTGATTATATTGAATATTCTTTACAAAAGCATCCAGATCCCGAAGAGGAAGTTTTGGAAGGAAAAGAAGAGAAAGAGGTAAGTGGATCAGATTCTGAGCTATCCATTGTGGGGAAAGGGAATTCCAATCTCAACCCGACTGTTGTATTGGATCTGAGGAAAGAGCTAGAGATCGAACGAACAGCAGCTGCCAGAGCTGCTGAGGAGGCGATGATGATGATCATGAGTTTGCAGAAAGAGAAAACTGCCCTTCTGACGGAAATGGAACGAATAGTTCGAGATGCTGAGGAAAGACAAGAACATGATGAAAGCACTCTCGCTCAGCTGAAGAGAGATGTGACAAAGAAGTTGAAGACCAATCTGATACTCGAAAGGAAAATTGATGCCTGTGGAAAACGGGGAGGTGGGAGGAAAGTTGCTGGATCTCTGCAGCGTAATCACATTTCCAGTGCTGGAGAAAGCCAAATTTCACTGAGCGATGACGAAGCGCGTGCTTGCAGCACGGGTCATGCAGAATGGAGTGAGGACGATACCTTCTCTCGTGAGAACATGGCTTCATCTCTTTACTCAGCTGATATGGAGTCCTTTCGATCACTTGGGTCTTCGTTGGCCACTGATGTAAGGAGAGGAACACTAGCACTGTCCAGCTATGGGGCCCTTAGTCCGATGGCTACAAACCCAATGAGGTCAGGAAGAAGAAACCGGAATTCGGAGACAAAGAAGCAGGGGTCCACTCCAAGTCCTGTTCAGAGGCGTACGCTGCAAAGATGTGGCCGACGTATCGACGAAGAGGAGGAAATGTACACGGAGGAGCACTTATCTGAACTTGGGTCTAACTTCCCAATGGATGGAGAAACTGAGAGGGAGTGGTATTGTTCCGAGTATCTGGTCGATGACGAGTTCGATGAGGACTTGGTTGATGATGACAAGTTCGACGAGGACTTGGTTGATGACAAGTTCGACGAGGACTTGGTGGTTGATGATGGGTTCAACGAGGACTTGGTTGATGAAGAGTTTGAAGAGGACTTGGTTGATGATGAGTTCAACGAGGACTTGGTTGATGACGGGTTCGACGAGGACTTGGTTGATGACGAGTTCGATCAAGGATCATTAGATGATTATGATGGAGGACGACGGCGCAAAGAGGAAGGGGAGGCATCTGAAGGAGCAGAAGGAGAAGGAGAGGGAGTAAGAGATAATGGCAATCAACGCTTCAAACGACCAGAAGGACAGGCAGAAGTACGGTTGGAAACGGGGGAGGAAGGTGAACATGCCAGAATTATGATGGGAAGGGGAGGGATTGGCATGCTCAAGGAGGAGGAGGAAGAAGAAGATGGTGGCCAGGAGGTAGATATGGACAATCAGAATGGAGAGCATGGGAAACCAGAAACCACTTGCCCGAGTCGACGAAGAAAGGGTGTGGCCGAAGGGCATTCAGAGCATGTTCGTGTCTCGGAGGACATGAAAGGCAACCAACGAGTAGTACAGAGTGAATTTGAGAGGATGTCGATAGCAGATGCATTCAATGGTCTGTCACAGGCCCATGCTTCACTGGGTGATATGGAAAAACTGACGGATAGCGAGAACAATGAAGAGGTGGCAAAGTCCAGGGCGCTGTCCTGCTTGCCGAGAACATCAGCCAAGGTTATATCTCATCCAAAGGGCCACAGGCAAGCTGTAAGCGAGACACAATCAGAGTGTTCAATGGGCTCAATAAGACAAAGTGGAGGTGTCGCAGGGGTGACAGGGTTGGGGCGCTTATCAACGAGGCAGAAGAAGAAATCACCCAAGTTGGGTCTCCAAAGAAGGGGGGAGGTGACTGAAGGTGATGCTGATAGCGGCCGGTTCACAGATGGTGGTAACCGTTGTGGCCATAAAAGAGGAGGAATGTTTTCGAAGGATTCAAGCATAAGAGGCTTAGTTGCATCAGGAGTAGAAGGGGGGGGAGATGGAGAAGCATGGCACTTATTGAGGAAGGAAGCAGTGTATGGTGAGGGTTGCCAAGATCCAGGTCCAACTGGTGGAAACGAAGCATTGAGGGGTTTTCGGTCCTATCATGATGGAATGACTATATCCAAGAGCGAGTCGCTGGTTAAGGTGGGGGGCTGTACTCTATCCCATAGCAGCACATGCAAGACCAGTGAAGTGAGCACTAACTATGGTGATAATTTTGATGACAGAGCGACTTTGTACACAAGCACGGGCACAGATGAGGACTCCAGGGATGATCAGACACTCCCAGAGTGGGCGAGGGCAATGGTTCTCTTTACTGGAGAAGGAGAAACAGCCAAAGCGCAACTGTTTGGTTGTGGATCTGGCATTAAGATTGCCGCAACAGCCTTGTCCAGCACTCCTAGCAGTGCTAGCGATTTAGAGAATCATAATGATGAATTGGATGTGGTTAGCGACGAAGCTGATTTCCATCATGGTAGCAAGTCCGACGCATGGTATCCCCGTGGAAAAGGACAAACAGTTTATCATCATGATCATGACAGGGTGCACACTCCAGAGGAGTCAGATAATTCTCTGATGAAACAGGGTTGGTACGCTTGCCCGAAACCAAGGAAGAGTAATGCCCACTCTGTCTTGGCAACAGAAGAAGAAGAGGAAGATGCCTTGCTTGGTGAATCTGACAGCATGGAGCTGGGAACACGCATGGGAAAACTTGGCTTCCCACGAGGTGGACGCGTTGATTACAAGTCAGAGGGAAGCTCGTACTCAGCCTGGGAACAACCAGTCTACTCCTCTAAGTCTAATACGACTTACAGAGGGAAGAAGCCCAAAGTGTACCCCAGTGATGAAGAAGCAGACCTGCATCATGGGCGAACTGGTTATCACCCGTACAGAGGAACTTATGATAGGGGGTAAACGCGGTCATCACAGGATTTGACAGCCTTTCGGATTCAGAACCTACCTGACGAGCATGGACTAGAAGATGACCCAGAACATCATCCAGAACCTCAGCTACTTGTAGAAGCAGCATCACCTCTAGCAGCATATGATATGGACGAGCACACAACATAAACGACTGAACAGGATGCACCAGTCGGGGTACCAACTGGGCAGGTACCAGGGCCTGAAGGTGGCAAAAGGAGGAGGCTGAGGGGGAAGACTAGGGCAACAGGCATTCACATGCGGCAGTGCTTGAGAAGTGCATGCATGCAAGTCAGCGCCGAGGGGGAAGCAGCATAGCGGTAGCTCGTGGCGTGCACTGGCCATAGCTGGTGAAGGCAGCGCAGCACAGAAGAGGCTGGTGGGGAAGAGGGGAGAGATCTCGGGAGAGGAGGAGGCTGCGGGGACAAGCGGATACTTACCTGATAAACGGGAGGAGAACACCTATTTGATCCTGCTTGATGTATGACAGGAGTGCACCTATGTGATCGGATGCTACAGCAGCAGCTGCCAAGAGGAGAGTGGACAGAGAGTGAGAGAGAGGAGGCTAGATTAGGGAAGTAGTATAAGCGGTCACATCATAGCTTAGGGCCACTACTCTGTTGTTGTCTTGACTTGCTTAGCAAAGAAGCGGGCTTTCTTTATCAAGAGACTTGTGTGTTCATCGTGTTCTTGGATTTGTGTGCTCGATGCCTTTCCAATCTGTTTTCAGTTTGGTCTAATCATGCATGGTCTTCAATGAGCTCTTGCTGATCGGAACTCATGCATGGTCTCACATGCTGGTTTCTTGCAGATGGAGCAACCCACTGGTAGATGGATGGGATTAACGAATTAACCACCAGGAAACAAGTTTCTTCCTTTGTCATAAAACTCCTTTTTTTGTTTAATAAAAACTTGAAAAGAACATTACTTTGTATTTATAAAACTGGAAATCAGGTCCAGCATCCCTTACATCAGATACCCACTCGACACTTCCGTTCGTTATGGCCATGGGACCCTGAGACAGCTACATTGATCACTCCCCGTTTTGGGAAGGATGTACCAGCCCTCTGTCTCTGCTTTCTCTATCCTTTTCTTGAGCCTAAGTCCTTCCCCCGCTCAACAAGACTTCCTTTCAAAAGGCTTCCTGAATATCCATCCAAATAATCCCTCTCAGTCCACTGCTGTGGACTTTGAAAGAAGTGAAAAAAAAAGTGAGCGGGAAAGACTTGTATCTGGGACATGGGGCTGTGTGGCGTCTGTCCTGCTGTGTGTTTCACCCCTGTGCGCCTGAAACACTTTGTCCCATTTTTTTTATATCTACCCCTGCTACACCTATGTACGGTTTCTTTTCAAGTGGCCTGAGAACTTCAAGTTGCCTGCCGTTGCAGCTCCTCTCAGCCCTGAAAGGCTGCCAGTGGTCATATTATCCTGGAGCTGAACCAGCAAACTGCATGAATTTTGCAGCAACTATCCAGTCTCAGTAGTTCTCCGTAAACCTTCTGAAGGGAAAAGCGGTCCTCGCCTAATGCCTCTTGCGGGCCCATGAGAAATTTGAAAAGGAGGAGGGTACCTGGGGGATGTTCCAACTGGGGAAGTTCCCTTTTTTTTTTTTCCAGTCGTCCTCGTCTCGCGCCTCGCCTGGGCCTGGAATTTCTCTTTTGAGTTTCACACTGCGTCCGGGGAAGGATCTGGAAATTTTTGGGGGCGCCCAGCGTCGTTTCACACAACACACAGACACACATGTGTGCACACAAAGAGACACACAACACACGGACACAGACACAGACACACATGTGTGCACACACAGAGACACACGGCCGCTGCACACCGAAACAAGGCGTGAAAATGCGGGCGGGCCATTGGATGGAGCGGATTGGGGGGAGGACCATGGTCCCGGCCTCGCCCACCGAGCATGTAGAACATGAGTCCCAATGGGACAGCTTGCTTTCCCACCCAGAGTGTGTGGTCTGACAGGAGGTTGCGTTCTGACATAATGAGCAGAGACGGCCCGAGTGAAGGGGGGGGGTCCAGAAATGTCGCGGCTATAAAATGAAAAACAAAAGAAAAAATAGAAAACAAAGTTGTCGCAGACAAGCAACTTGCGACACTGGGCCTCACTCCACTACTCACCACATGCACAAAAGACATGATTATGATGGTGTATCTTTCCATTTTCCAGTGGAAGGTTTATTCTCCTCTTGCACATTCGGTGAGTAATGGAGTGAGGTTCGCTGTGGCATACTGCATAGCCACACGGGCCCTGCAGGGCCCGTCCCGGACATTCAGCCTAAAAGCCTAAAACATAGGGCTTACAGGCCCCGGTCGTTTCAGCCTGAAAGCTGAAAAACGAGGGCCTGCAGGCCCTACTCCGTTTCAGCCTATTTCTGGGTCTTTCAGACCCAGAGTTTTTCCAGCCTGAAACAGAGGGCCATTTTCAGGCCCTCATTGTTTTGACCTGCCCCTAAGACTCAGGCACGTAAACAGGGATGCGGAACAGGCCAGAAATAGCCTGTTCCTCACGAGCTC